AGATAGGATCCCCAGGGATCCTCCTGCCTCAGCTTCCCCAGCACTGGGATTAGAGGGGGGCTTGACCAGGCTGGACTTTTAAACGTGGGAGCTGGGGATCAAACCCAGGTCCTCATGATTGTGTAGCAAGCATTTTACCAACTGAGTCCTCTCCTCGGTCCCCTCTTCTTCCTCTTATGTATTGGAGGGACCACTTATCACAGCGCACATCCTACTCAACAGGACCTAGGGCAGAGCCCAGTCACCTGCCCACTCGAAGCTCCTGCAGTGCCTAACACAGCTGGGCATCCATAGTTCCTAAAGACAAGAAGGGCAATGTTCCATAGAGAATGAAACCTTGGTGGTTCTCAAACGGGTCATGCCTCAGAAGTCACCTGGGTGGCCTTGGACAACAGATCTGGGAGGCTAGGTACCAGGGTGGGCCCAAGAATATGCATTTCTCGAAAATTCCCAGGAGACGCTGAAGCAGGCAGACTCAGGACCTTACCCTGGGATTACCCTGAAAGTCGCTGCAGACTGGGGCAGCTTGGAGTGTAGAAAGGAGCTTTGGGGGCTGTGAGATGCTCAGGGCTCTAGGACCAGAAGGGCCCGCGACCACGTGGTTTCAAAGTCCGGTCCTGGAGCGTCCCCTGGTGGTGACAGGGGGCCTCCGCAGCTCTTGCGCACCTGCATCCTAGGCGGGAGCATCCTATGGCAGGGGGTGAAGCCTGTACTGCGGTAGGCACCAGACCTTGGAAACCGGAAAAGAACAGGGAAAACGTCATCGGTTTCTAGAATCATGGCTTTCCTCTGTGATCTAGCAATTGTTCACAAACCCAGGAGTCTAGAGCGTCTCTGTTCTTGAGGCAACCGAGGGGCAGGACTAATGAGGTCCCAGGCTGGGGAACACATTTTGGCTCATCTCACCTGCAGCATCCTCTTTCTTTTCTTTTTGGAGGGGGTTATCTTTTTGAGACAGGATCAAAAAAACCCAAGCTGGTCTGGAACTCGCTACGTAGACCAGGCTGGTTTCGCTCTCACAGAGATCCATCTGCCTCTGCATCCAGAGAGCTAGGATTAAAGACATGCTCCCTACGCCCGGCGAGCATCCTCTTTCCTAAATTCCAGTCGCCCAAAACTTCAATTAGACAGCATGCTGCAGGCAGGTGGCTTTTTTTATTTTGATTTTTTTCATTTGGAGTAGTTTGTTTTCACTTTATTCCTGTGTGTATGCGTGCTGTGTGTGTGTTTGAACGTGCGTGTGCCACGGCGCACTATGGGGAGGTCTGAGGACAACTGTGAGAGTTCGCTTTTCTCCCTCCACCCTGTGGGTCCTGAGGATGGAGCTCAGGTCATCAGGTTTAACAGCAAATACCTCCAACCTTTAGCCTACCTCACCGGTCCTTGTTTGTTTGTTTGTTTTTGTTTTTATTATTATTGGTCTTTTTGAGATAGGGCCTCCCTGTAGCCCCAGCTGACCTGTAACTCGTTGTATAGACCAGACTGGCCTCAAACTCACAAGAGATCTGCCTGCCTCTGCCTCCCTAGTGCCAAGATTAAAGGCATGCACCACCATGCCTGGCTATTTATTTTTGAGACAGAGTCTCATGTAGCCCAGGCTGACCTGGAATTCGATATGTAGTCGAGGCTGGCCTTGAACTCTTGATCCTTCTGTCTTCACCTCCCTAGTGCTGGGATTATAGCCGTGCACCTCCACTCCAGGATCTCTTTTGACAACATTGCTTGCCCTATGCCCACCCAGCTCTGATCCTAGCACGTAAGAGGACCAGGAATATACAACATTAATGAAACCCCATAATTGTATTCCTGCCTTGCGGATTCGCACTGGCTGGGGCTTCTGGCTCTGTCGCCTGTGCCCTCCTCAGGCCACTGCCTTACGGACCTTTCCACCCGGAAGTCCACGCTGTCTAATGCACAGATCTTGTCCTCATCTAGGGAGTCTGCCACCTGCCGCCCCACCCCAGGGAATCCGCACGAATGGTGCCTGTTCCTGCACCTGCAGTAGGGCCCGCGGGAATCTGCAGCAGGGCCCTCGGGAAACTGCACTGCGCAGCCTGCACTGTCGTTGCCTTCGCCGCCATTAGGGGGCAGCCGCGCCCACCATCTCTGGCCTCTTGAAGCTCCAAGCACCTAGCACCTGCTCCCCAAGCACCTCCGCTGGGGCCTGCCCCTTAGCGCCTTCTCTTCTTGGCCGCCTCTCAGCTCCCTTCTGCCTATGGGTCTAGAATATTCCTCACCAAGCGCATCTAGGATCCAGTTCACCCAACCCTTGTTATTCACTCCATCAGTCACTCAACAAACGTCAGCCAAACAGGATTGCACTACAGGCTGCACATGGTGAAGGGGGCTGGGAAACTGGGCACAGTATATACCTCACTCCCACCACAGGGAGCTGAATCTAAAGACCCTGCTTCCTCTCACCTCCTTCCCCAGCTTCCTGGCAGTGGGTAAGATCCAGATCTTACCAGTGGGTAAGATCCAGGGGCTGCTGAATGCAGATGGGGCACCAGTGCTGGAAGAGGGGAGGGGAAGGGACTCGATCTGGAGACTAGAGTCACAGTGGCCAATCAATCAAGGGCTCCTGGGTTGTCTTCAGGAAAATGACCTCCGTGCTGCAGGGATGTGACATCTCCAGCAACCTTGGATCCTGATAATCCTTGCCTTAATTCCCCCACTGATTTCTATTAAACTTCCTGAAGGAGCCCATTGTGTTATTGAGAAACAAGTAAATGTACCAAGAAGCAGTGAACGCTCTGGAGAAAACAAAGCGAGGATGTGTGGGAAGGGTTACTTTGTAAATATGGTCATCTGAGAGGCCTCCCTGGGAATGTGATATTTGAAGAAAGGTTAAGTATCCTGGGGAAGGGTGAACCTGCCTGTGCAAAGGCCCTGGGGTATGAGTGTTTCCCTAGAGGTCTGAAGCCACAAAAGGCACATAGAAGACTGGGAAATGGGGCAGAGATCAGATGGTATATCTTGTGTGCACCACAGCGACCCAAGAAAATTTTCAATGACATTAAGAATGCCCTGTACCTATACTGTACAATAAAACCACCACTGGACTATGCAGCACTTGAGTATTTACATGGAGATGTGGCTGCCCTAACTAATGATATGAATGTTTAATTTTATTTCATTTTTATGTAAATCATATGCAAATGTGGATTGCCCCCTAGGGCTAATTGTGATATTATTGGACACAGAAGGTGCAGACTATTGTAAGACCTTTGGCTTTGAGCTGTGATGACACAGCGAGAGGTCCTTCCAGGGTATAGAGAGGGGAGTGGCAGTACCAGGTGTCAGATGTGGCATGCTGAGATGAGGTTCCTTTCCCTCCTTTCCCCTGGGCCACCATCCAGCCTTGCCTAGAGGTGAGAGGGAAGGCTAGGCCAAAATCCAAGACAGGCGTGGAAGACCCTGGTGTGGGGCTAGAGGAAGACAGGCTAGAGGAAGAGCCTGTGAGGACAAGTATGAGCTACAGCAGCATAAAAAGGACTTTAGGACTCAACGGACATGGCAAGGCCCAAACAAGGGTGAATGGAGATGTGGAGGGCCCTGTGGTAGAGGAGCTGGGCACATGAGTCAGTCATGATGATAAGGCATGTGGTTCAACTTGGGTGGAGTGGGGGGACACTACCCAGACCACAAAGAACAACAGCCAGGGTGTTTTATTAAATTTTACTGGAGGATCCCAGGTCACACAGTACACAAGGACCAGAGTCTATAACTACTCAGGGCAGGGAGAAGTGACATGTGGGGCCCTCCCCAACCACAGATTTCTCCCAAAGGCCAGCAAGTCCCAAGTCCATCAGCCCACAGGGGGAGGGACTTCCTCTCCAGCCCCAGGCCAGCCTGGCCTGCTTCTCCATCTGTCCACTCATTAAATACTGATCCTAGGGAGCAAGAAAAGGGCAGCCTCTGAGCACAAGGCTGCACCCACAGCCCCCACAGTTTCTGCATGTCCCCACTGTGGGACTTGGACAGTCCAGTCTGGGCTGTGAAGACAGGTCACAGCTTCTGTTGCTTCCTAAGAGGATTCAGGCACCACAGACTGGTCACTTCCTGGGGATAGAAACTTGGACAAAGAAACACACACAGAAAACCCCAGGGACACAAGGGTGCAGAGTACTGAGTGGGGACAAAGCACTATCTACACAGGAAACACAGAATCGGGCAGCCAGGGCCTCAGCACGTGGCACTATAAAGACACAAAACACACAGCTGACATGGTTGCTCTTGGGGACAGCAGAAGACTGGAACCAGGCCAGCACTAGCCACGGTTGGGGGTCGGGGGAAGGCAGGGTAGGATGGAGCAATTGCTTCCTACACAGGGACACTTGCCCCTTTAAGGGGACCTGGGGTTATTTACTGCACACTGGGGTGAACAAGGGACTTTGTTATCATATTAAGTTCACAAGCTACAAGGGCAAATGCAGAGGAGTGGCCAGGGATGGGACAGCTGGTGGGATGGCACTAGGGAGCTTCAGATGGAGGGGCTGGGGCTAGCCCCGAGAAACCAAAAATCTCTTGATGTGAATTTTCCATACTAGAATACAATGGCAGAACATTATAAATTTTGTTAAGCACTGCAGTAAGATTATCAAGTTCAACCTGCAGGCACAGGGAGAGGGGGATGGAGGGGATTGGCTTTAAGATGGTTTATTTGCATCTGCAGGCCTTCAGGTGGGCAGACTAATGCCTACTTCTCTTCCCCCTTCCTTTCTCCTGACCTTTCCCTTCCACCACCACCCCCACTCATCTTCCCTCTGCCCTCCTCTTCCCCTTCCTTCTCCCTCCTCTCTTCCTCCCTCCTCCTCTCCTTCCTCTCTATTCCTCCTCCCCATCCCAGTCCCCTCTGTAATACCATCCCCCAACT